GAGATTCTTAATATAATTGCTTTTTCCACCTTCTTGAGAATGGTAACAGTTAACCACTCGTATAGACAAGTTTATTTGAAAAATTATTATATGTTACAAGTTGCCATGAGAGGTTCTTTAATGGAAAGATAATTGCTTTTCTGACAAGGTTGAGTGTACACCTTTTTGAGAATGGTAGCAGTTAATCTATATGTCCAGTGGATAGACAAGTTTATTTGCAATATTATTATACGTTGCAAATTGCCATGAGAGGTTCTTTAATGGAAAAATAATTGCTTTTTCCACCTTCTTGAGAATGGTAACAGTTAATCTATATATCCACTGGTATAGACAAGTTTATTTGCAATATTATTTACGTTGCAAATTGTCATGAGAGATTCTTTAACGGAAAGATAATTGCTTTTTCTGATAAGGTTGAGTGTAAACCTTTTTGAGAATGGTTACAGTTAATCTATATATCAAAGTATGTAGTCGCCCTTCTAAAGTATTACAACTTAAATCTTGAACATCTATTTGTTCTTCCGATGAATAGTCTGAAGCTTCAAAAATATCTTCTGATGAGCTAATAATTTCTGTTTACACCAAAAATAAAACAGCGCTAAACAATACATTTTAAACTCCTCTAAGTTGCTCTGCTTGCTTGTCTTTAAAACATCTCTTATTTCTTTCTTTCCACACTGTCCACGGAGTGCATTCAGGGACAATCTTCCATCTTCTTGGTTAATGATCTTTTCTTGGTTATTACTTATATGAAATATCGTGTCCAGAAATTGGTAATTCTGTCCTGTTTATATGATGTTGCACTACATTCTAGTGATGTATATGATTTCTGTGTCTTTGTCCAACACATAACTAGTCTTTTGTCTCCCTACCACTAAGGCAAATAGGAAAAAAACTAATAACTGATCTCTTTTCATATATAGCATCCGAAGGAGAAAAAGTAATTGCTGTCCCTTCTAATGACTCGCATCGTTGTTTGGTTCAACTTGTGGTCTCATTGCATGCTATTTCAATTAGCTTCTATAGGTAGAACTTTCTCTTTTTCTCTTACATAATTTAATTTTGTATGCTTGTCTCTATTTTCAGGAGCTTGTAAACTACTACAACATCACCACTTCAAGAGATTGGACTGGACGTGTTGAGAGCTTTAAATCAACAGGAAGCATTGGGAATGGGTTGAGGCCGATACTCCACAAATCTGCACCTCAAGTTGCTGTCTTCTCTGCTAGAGGACCTAATATCAAAGATTACAGCTTTCAAGATGCTGATCTCCTGAAACCCGATATACTGGCTCCTGGTTCTCTTATTTGGGCTGCCTGGGCTCCCAATGGGACAGATGAAGCCAACTATTGTGGTATGTAGCCTTCATATTATTGCTTATAGGTAAATCAACTAAATTGTTTATGTTGTCCATTAGATGGTAGATTTATATGTTTAACAGTCATCTTTATTTCATTTTCAAGCCTAGTTTTTACTTGGACATAAACAATGAACTAGCAGTTGAGGTTGTTGCTTTCTTTACTGATATAGAAATATAAAAGATGCCTTGTATCCTGAATTGGATGGACTAAAATTTTAATCTGATACCCTAGAAAATTGATCATTTATGTCCATTTGGTTTGCTTTTAAGTTTAGACTAAAACGATAAGTTCAGTCTCAAGAAGAAATGTACTCCAACAGTATTTCAATGATATGTTCATACTTCAAAATATTGGCTGGAATCAGGTGAAGGGTTTGCATTGATCTCTGGAACTAGCATGGCAGCACCCCATATAGCAGGAATAGCAGCCCTTGTCAAGCAGCACCACCCTCATTGGAGTCCTGCTGCTATTAAATCAGCATTGATGACAACTTCATCAATCATTGATAGGGCGGATAGACCACTTCAAGCACAACAGTATTCTGGATCTGAGACCTTGATGCTTGTTCCAGCTACTCCATTTGACTATGGAAGTGGACATGTTAATCCTAGAGCAGCTCTGGATCCCGGACTCATTTTTGATGCAGGTGATCTTCTGTTCCTCTTTCCCTCTAGTTTTGATATAGTTTATTGTTTCTAACTACTTAGATAATCCTCTTGCTAATTGGGAACAGTTAGTGCCTTTAACAATTTCTAAAGCTGGGGATCCTATTGACTTATTGCCTTTGATGCACTTTGAGTTGTAGTCTAGTTGCAAGATTTTCAGTCTCTCTTTGTTGTTTCCTTCTAACTTTGAATGATACACGAGCATACAATCATGATAATTTTCCACTCTTGGGCCCAAGGGTTTGGTCTAGTGCTAGGAATGCAACATCACAGGTTCGAACTCTGCCATAGACCAAAGATGTGTTAAATGGAGGAGGGTAGAGGGAAGATCCATTATCCACGGAGTTTTGGACCTTGCGCCATTAGTACTCGGGGATTTCTTGGTTATAAAAAAGAAGTAATTAATTTTTTCTCTCTAGCTTCGTGAAGAAAAAATCAGCTGCATCATATACCAAACTACCCTACATTTTGTCTCCTGCTTTACAATTACTTTTGGTTGGCTGGAGTCAAACTTGACATTTTGGAATGTGCTGTTGTCATTTCTGTTGACTTGCAATGATTCTTGTTAAGGTCGGCATGTACTTATCTTCTCTATGGCCCTACTTTAACTTCTTCCCCTAGCCATCAAGCCCGAAAGCAGCAAGGAGTGTGAAAGAGTAAAGTACAATTTAAGAAAGCTAAATGCATATATGAAATTTTAGTTTGCTGAACCTGCATATTTAAGAAATTTTAATTTGCTGAACCTGCATATAAGAACCTTATGGATGAATAGTATAACGGAAGATCGTGTATGGTTTCCTGTAGTTCGATTATAGTATTATTTTTGTTGTGGTACTGCTCTGCTACTATTTGTTGTTTTTCTTATTATATATTATATTCTGTTGCACTTCTATTACGTCTTTTTCTAGACTGTTTTTCCTTGATCCGAGGGTCTATTGGAAACAACCTCTCTATCTCACCTTAGAGTTAGAGATAAGATTTGCGTACACTCTACCTTCCCTAGACGCCACTTTGTGGGACTACAATGGGTATATTGTTATTGTTATTGTTGTTGGGAGATTGTCTCTTCATCAAAGATGATATAAAAGAAGATCGTATTCTTGCTAAATTGCGAGAGTCGTGATGGCTCTTTTGGTTTTCAGGAATGTTATACTATATAGTTTTTTTCTCCAGAACTTTTGCAGCTCTACAGTAGATATAACATTAAAACCGGATTGAATACCCTATGCAAACAGCTTTCTGAGCTCCAGTCTGATACTTGATAACAAATGTTTCAATATGTCTAACTGCTTTAGCTTTTGTTTGATTGATTTTAGGTTATCAAGATTATTTGGGGTTCTTGTGCACTGTGCCTGGAATTGATGCTCAGGAAATAAAGAAGTTCACACATTCCCCATGCAACTACACCCTTGGTCACCCATCAAATTTCAACTCACCCTCAATTGCAGTTTCACACCTTGTGGGAACACGAATAATCACACGTACAGTGACAAATGTTGCTGAGGAAGAAACATATGTTGTAACAGCAAGAATGGCTCCAGAAATTGCCATTGAAACTAATCCTCCTGCAATGACTTTAAGGCATGGTGCATCAAGGAAATTCACGGTAACTCTCACTGTCCGATCAGTAAAAGGAGCCTATAGTTTTGGAGAGGTTTTACTGAAAGGTAGCAGAGGTCACAAAGTCAGGATCCCTGTTGCAGCTATGGGTTATGATCGATAGACTGGTCGATGGATGATTGCTTAATCCAAAGTTGAAATATCTTGTTTGCTGCATATTCTTTGGATCTGTGAGAATAAGATGCATATGGTTTCTCCAAATATATAAGGTATGAAGTGAAAATGATGTAAAGTTTAATAGTAATGAGGGGAGAAGGTAGTTTCTTCCCATCCTAAGTTTTGCTAATTCTGTTGTAACATGATGGAATGCCCCCTTGTGGTATGTATGGCATATATAGGCCCTCAAGCCTTGTTTTAAGAGTTAGTAAAGGGAAGGTAGGTAGCTTTGTATCTTCCCTAGTTTATTTTTCACTTCCTCTTGTATAAGTTATATTAATCAAAGCTTCCAATTTATTGCATCCAATTTATCTCCATCTCACATTTGAGATAGGTTTCTAATAAACACTCGGCTCAAAATATATACAGTTTAAAATAAGATGTAATGAAAGTACAAGAGATAATAGATACTCCCTCCATCCCATTATGTAGCAACATTTGATCCGGCACAGAGTTTAAAAAATAAATGAAGATTTTGAATTGTTTTATCAAATTGTCCTTCAAAAGTGGACTTACTTTTCTCTCTACTCATAAATATATTAGAGTAATATTTAAAATTAAGTGAGATCAACAAGGATAAAAGAGGAATTGTACTTTTAAATATTTATCATATAAGGAAATGTGACATTCTTTTTGAAACTGACCAAAAAAGAAATGGTGCTATATAAAATCAGATGGAAAGAGTAATTACAGTTAATAGTACTATACAATAATCTTATAATTGAACTACACGAAACAACATATAGAATAAATCGAAGAGCAAAGACACTACAAGAGTAGTACTATGACTACTAGTAAGGGGGAGAAAACAATACATCTCCTATCTACTAGCATTTGATATTAAATTTCATGATATGTGTATCAAATCTCACTTCTACGTGAACCTCGTGTGTTACATCACTAAACTTACACTCCAAGTATTCCGTCCCGATCCTGCTCAACCGGAACTCTTTACACTCGAGGTTTAGCTCCAAACATCCAACTTAGTTTCAAAATTAACCTATTTTGAAAATGACCTACACCATCACATCTCATCTTGAATTTGTCGCGTGAATATATTTATCACCAAAACAAATAAAAATAGACTAAAAAATTAATAATTGGTGTAACTCCACCCAAAACATTGATCTTTGTTAAATATTTATTGAATTTCTTTAATTTTTATTTTAAACTTATAAGACAATTTTGAACCTGCCCAAAATATAAGGGACCATTTTGTCATTTTGTCTTCTTCTTCTTCACTGCAAAACCCTGTAACCCTTCTATTTTTGTTTTTTTCAAAATCTCCAATTCCATGGAAATTCTCCATTTTCGTTTCTGAAAGTTGTAAATTCGATTTCTCGTTAGCAATTAACTTGATCTGCATCGAATTTGGGTTAGTTAATTTGAGTTTTTTTTTGTTTGGATTCAGCATCTCAACTTGCTTGTTGAATTGAGAGATTTTGGTGTTCTCTTTTAACAGGATTTTGAAATTTATAGCATAATACGGAGACTAAATCTGCATTTTGATTACTTATTATGGAGGAACAATCATTCTTTACCAAATTCATTGTCAACCTTCGTTCCTCTTGCAAGTATGTTAAACACTCACTTTAGCTTATTAACTAGCATTATTTTTACGCATTCATCTTCTGTCTTGGTTGATCTTTTTGTTAAAATAATATGTTTACTGCTTAAAGTTGCTAGCTTTGCTACCGTGACATGTTGTTAGCATTGTATAGAGAGTGATTGCTTAGCTTTACTGTGCTGTTTATGCTAACTAGGAGAAAGGGGGTTCAATTGAATTACCTTCTCTGAAAAATTATACTTTGATAATATGGTAGAAATTAGTTTTCTTTTTGTATAGGGGGTTGAATTCCCTTGACATGAGGGGAAATTCTAGTAAATTTAAAAAATTGGTTTAGATTGCTGGTTCTAATCCCTGTGAATGATAACTTTTGAATCCCCTTCATGAACTTGGGGCACTGCCACTGTTTTGGTTTTTTATAATTGGTTTTAATTTTATCCCTGGTTAACTTTTTGTTTGGTATTTGAAGGTATTACACAGGCTATCCTAAAGATCTTGGGCCATCGAAGGTTATTCACTTTACCTCGGAAAGGGAATTTGTCCAACTTCTTCATCAAGGCTACCCGGTAGTCGTTGCATTTACAATCAAGTAATATGAGTTTATAGTTTCTTTTCCTTCCTTTCATGTCTTTTGTAAATTTATAGTATTAATCCCTGGATCATATCGTTTTTGGATGCTGTAGGAGTAACTACAGCAAACATCTTGACAAAGTTTTTGAGGAGTCTGCAGCCGAGTTTTATCCACATGTCAAATTTTTACGTGTAAGACACTTCTTGAACTTCTCATTCTAATGTAGGAAGAATATAATTGCTGGTATGGTATAAAAAGGTCTCTTCAGGCATCTGGAGTGTGGGGGTCTATGAGTTTATTTTTCAGTGCTGGAAATATGGAAAAGACCTCATTGTTTTGAATTGGATTTTGATAGTATAAAATGTTTTCATGCAAGGTCCATGTTTTCATTTTTATTTTGTATTGTTCAGGTCGAATGCCCAAAGTACCCAGGGTTTTGCATAACAAGACAAAAGACGGAATATCCATTTGTAGAGATATTTCATAGTCCAGAACAGGTAATTTTGTTGAGTCGGGGAATCATATGTTCACGTATGTGTGGTTTATGAGTGCCTCGATAGATGGAGGTAGAGACTAATATGCATTTGCAGATTTGCTACATAATGCTCTTGGCCTACAACTGGCAACTGGGTTGGTGACTTACAACAAGCTATTGAGTAATCTAGCTGAAGCACAACTAACCAATAGCTAGTGGCAAGCTTGTAACTACCATCTTACGCTACAGACGGCAAAACATGAACAAAAAATAATCTTCTCTGTGTATGTTATTGCCATGACGTTCCACGAGTTACTCTCATCCTTCCTCCCCCCTCTATCTCTTTCTGTCCGAGCAATTGTTTAATAATCTGTAAAGAGAGTCACAAGTTTTTATTGCTTGCTTTATTTTCTCTCAATAGTTCAGGACATAAGACAGTTAGTCGCTTTGTCCTTTACATATTACATAGTTTTGATTTGGGACAAAACATTAAGAGGTTCATTTTACATTCATATCATAGAAGACATGATTGAATTGGTATGGTTTTTTAGTGAGAAAACCTCTTTAACGAATGAGTTACTGGAACTTTTTGTAGGGTATACTTATCTCTTTAGTATTACTTGGAGAACTGGTGTTCAATTATATCCAGAAGTGGGATTGTGTGATTTCTTCTCTTTCCGTTTTAAATTAATGCTACTTTAGTTTGTTTATTGTTTTCCTCTGCATGTGTACTGGATGTCTCTGCTACACTATTTGATTTCCGTTTTAAATTAATGCTACTTTAGTTTGTTTATTGTTTTTCTCTGCATGTGTACTGGATGTCTCTGCTACACTATTTGATATGTCTCACAGTTCGTCAATAGCAAGGGCTTGGTGCTTAGATGTTTGTTAGCTGTGTGGCTTCACATAGCCATAAATTTCTTTTTTCTTTGTCTTCAATTGAGTGATTCTGGTTTGCTCTCTACCAGGCAGCTGCTCAGGGAAGGGTTGCTGATCCTAATGTTACCAAATACTCTGTCAAAGTTTTACCTGTAAGTTCTCATGTTTGTGAAGTATCTGTAGAAAAAATGATTACTATATTTGCTTCTGTCCTTGAAATTTTATGTGCAAAATTATATTGTACTACATTGAAGTTATAGTTGGTGTAATTTGAGATCATATCTTAAAACTTCTTTTATAGTTAGTGATTTGTTCCATTAGCTTTTTCTTGTTTTTGATGAGGTAAAGGTAATATTTAAAATGGGAGTCTATACAAGCTCTCCTAGCTTTGGAGAGTCTGAAAATCGAAAAATCGTATCATTCCATCCTTGTTCCTTACATCAAAAAGTATAAATTTTGCAGACATCCAACTTTATAAAAGAAAAGTGTTCTATCTTCCTTTCGAAACATCTCTTGTTCATTCCTAACCAAACAGTCCATGTAATGCACACGATGAATAGTCTTCCAAATGCGCTCTGTCGTAAATGTTTTTAAAAGCGAAAAGCATAAAGAATCGACAAAGCCCATGAAACTTGAGAAAGATGATAGGTGAAGCAGATCCTTCTCTGAAGAGAAAGTGCACAAGCTACAGAATTTTTTTTTTTGACAACGGTAACAAGCTACAGAAATTAAAAAGTACCAAACATACAAATTTAGTACTTTAATGATCAATTTACGATTTAATCACTAATTTTAGAATCCAGTTTACACAGATGTTGATATCAATCCAACTCCTTTAAGTTGAGATTCAAACAATCAACTGCTTCTCGTTAGGATCACATTGTGCGTCATTGTTTGAAGCGCCCTATACTCTGAAGTGCATAGCTTTGCCCATGAAGTGATATCCCCTATCTTTGCATTGTTTCATCCTTTAATTGATGCAATGATGGCTTTTACTGACATTGCTGCTTGCTATCTTCTTTGTTTCATCAGCTTGTATGTTGCTTGCTCTTGAAAACTCTACCATAACCTATTGGGTACATCAGGATGCGGAGTTGTTAGACTATCTTAATTGTAATATACTGCTAGTTGTCCTTGTTCCCCTTTTTCAAATCTTGGGGAGTTGTTACCAAATTTTTGCATTCTAGAATTCTTATGAATGTCCTCACTTGTCATCAAGCCCGAATGTTGAATCCACTTCTTTTATTTTTTTTCTCTTTCCTTATTCTAAAGCTGGTTAAAAAAGATTCATTATGGTTATACACACAGCTTCATAAGGTTGTAGGTGGCAGGGAACTTCTCTCTCGCATTTCTTTTAGAGGAAATTAAGGCCTATAAAGGTGACAAATTAACAAGAAAAATAATATTTTAGTTGCATGTTCCAAATTCACCTATTAACGGAGCCACCAGACACCCAATGAGTCCATGACCAACTTTATTCTAGGTGGAATGTTGTTAGGTTCAATATCCAGGTCAATAAGATCCTCGTGAAGGAGAAGCTCAACAATCATACAACCGATAGTAGTTCAAGATCTATTGCTAACTGGATTCAAGTCTCCCCTTGCTTATCCTTCTTCTTCATGCATTTCTTCTTTGCAATTTAATCTAGCACAAGAAGAATGGTCATCAGTGGTGATACCAGTGAGTCCAATTTTGTTACTAGTTATTTTATAACATCTAGTATCGAGTTCACAAAACTAATATTGTGCCACCTTCTCCATTTCTATCATTTGCTTCATTTATCTGCTAGATAAGTTGCCTGCCATTATAATCTTACTTTTCTGCTTTATCTCCACCAATCATACTGTATCTGAGTGACTCTTCGGGTGGTCCAGTGGTTTGAGCTTGAGACTTCCATGTTGGAGGTCTCAAGTTTGAAACCCCTTGCCAGCGAAAGCAAGGGATTTGCCTTCTAGGTCGAGCTCGCCGCACCAGACTTGCATAGTGCTGGTTACCTCTCCTATGTGGTTTGCGAGCTATTGCATAGGAGCAGAGGTTTTACCCTGTGTGCACCCAAAGGGTAGCGGCTGCGGATTTCCCTTGTCATAAAAAAAAAATCATATTGTATCTGAGTGATATCTCTCTCATAAATGACAGAACAAGAGCATGTTGGGAAGTTATTGTGTAAACCAAACTCATCTTGTATTTTGAAGTGGTTCTGATCATTAATATATTCTTCTTATTTCAGTTCAACTATGATCTAAGTGCTTATGGATTTCGTGAGTTCTTCAAACGACATGGAATCCGATCATCAGATTCAAATTAAAAGTCAAGGAGTATCAAACATGGTATTTCCTTGCTCCAAATAGAATTATATGCTTTTTACCTGCTGTTTTAGACTGATCTCCCTCGTCTCTTTTTGAATTATCAAGCATATTGAGTAAAATGCTGTTCCTGAACGATCATCGATGAGCACAAGCAGAAATGAATGGCTCGGATGGTTTATGTTTATCGACGAACACAGTGAAGAAACTGGCTCTTGTGCATATATAGCTTTAATAATAGGCACCAGCAAAAACAGGTTTGGTTGGAGCACATAACTTTCTGGTCAGCAAATGAGAAAACTGTTCTAAATTTTTTAAACCATGCCAAAATGAGCCTTAATTATATAGTGTTACTATCTGTATCCTAAATTATTGCACACTTTTATATTTTATAAACTGTCAAAACCTTCTAAACAACCAAGCTTCAATCAAGTAGTTTGGGTCGACTATATGAATTCTCGATGTATATTAAGTCCAGTTTGTAATGTTCGTTTTGGGAAAAGCGTCTTCTTTTGTATTGAATAATGTGAGACACGATTTCTTTTGTTCATTACGATCTTTAACTATGCAAGGGTCTTATGCACTACTCCTTTCGTTCACTTTTATTTGTCATGTTGCGTTTTTTAAAAGTCAATTTAACTAATTTTTGAAGTTAAATTAGATTACATTAATTTGATATTTTAAACAAAAAATTTAAATATTCAAAAACAATGCGATAAATATTATACATTGTAATTTTTCATATCAATATGATGAAAAAATATATCGTAGAATATTAGTCAAATTTTTTATAGTTCGACTCTAAAAATGAAAGGTATACAATTAATAGTGGACGAAAGGAGTATTTTTTTGATTCTGATAACAACAAAAATAGATTGAGTGTTATTTATGCACCACCTTTTCGTTCCAATAACAACAAAAATAAAATCTAAACTTTCTCAATTAGTCTTGCTTTTTTAAAAATAAGTATCATTTTAATAAGAAAAATAATTTTAAAATAAGTGTTGTTTTCGAAATTCAGAACAAAAATATAGTAGTTTCTGTATATTTTTATTTATCCACTATATTAAAAATAGATATTCATTTTTACTTGTCTAGTTTGAAAAAATCAAGAGATAATTTGTCACTTAATTTTTAATTTATCTTTATTATTAATTATATAGTCACTAATAAAAATATTCGTGCTTCGCACGAAAATTTAATATTATAGAATTTATAAAATAATACTTAAATCTATCGATCATTAATACTAAAACTCTATATTATCTGATTATGTAGTAAGAACCATTAACAATGTAAAGGAATATAAAAATTATTACATCTTATCATTTATCTTTAACAACATAGCATAAATTAATGACTTTAAAAATATATATCAGGATCTGTAACATAAGCAATGATGTCTGTTAGCCATTCAACAGGAGCAAAGTACATAAATATTTGATTGAAAAAGAAGATGTTCAGAGAATTTTCATTTTCTAAAATGAGAGGAAAACTCTCTATTTATAGACAACAAATGATAGTGTGAACGAATATTTATTGTGTCTTATCAGAAATGTTACAACTAATTGGAAAAGTTGCAACCTTCGTAATGTCACAACCTTTCATAAAAGTTACAACTCTTTATAAAAGTCGCACCCCTTCATTAAAGTTACAATTTTTTTTATAAAAATCGCAACTCTTCATTAAAGTCACAATTTTTCATAAAAATCGCAACTCTTTATAAAAGTCGCAACTCTTCACTGATGTCGCAACTTTTCATAAAAGTCACAACATTTCATAAAGAGAAAAGACATAAAGTAACACCTGAAGTTGTCCTGAATTTTTAAAAAGAAACCTTAACTATGTAGATGTCCTATTACCCCCCTAAACTATTCTGAGCATATATTATTACATCATATTTTAATCAATTTCAAATTTTAAATGACAAGTATAATTACACACCAATTATTGTGCAACACGTGTTAATTCAATTTAACATATTATTTTTTTCAGTTTTCTTTATTTCTTTCTCTTACTTTTTGAATTATTTTAGTTTTATTATTTTTATTTTAATTTCATTTCAATTTTTAATTTATCTTCCACCCCCAACTTTCAAACTTCCTCCATTTTCTTTCTTTATTCCTTCTTCTTCACCTCTTATCCTCACCTAACCCCACACCCATATCAAGTCCCTCCATTTTCTTTCTCTTTTCTTCTTCTTATTTGGTCAAATTTCTTACTTTTGAGTTATTGATAACAAAACTAATTATTTTTCTAAAAAAGATCAAAATTTTGAAGGTATCATCATTTAATTTATCTCATTTCCATATAAATTCAAAACTAGAAATGATAATTTTGAAAGCATAAGAATTCTCCGAAAATTGAAAAAGTTTAAATAGAATTTGAATAAAAAACTAAATAATGTCTACTAATCATATTGAAATCTAATGGTTTTATCACATTGTTCGAAATATATTAAAATATTTAGATATAATTATAAAATTGAAGAGAGTTAAACTAATAGTAGAATAAAAGAGAGATGGAGTTGTGGTAAAAAGTGACATTAAAAGTGATAAGGTAATGAATATGACAATGAATTTTTGAAGAAAGAAGGACGAAAAAGAAAAAAATAATAAGGAGAAAAAATTAAAATAATAAGAAAAATAAAAATATATATTTTATAGTAAAATTCTTGTAAAAATAAAATTATATTCGTTTTTTTAGTTTGTCCACGCTCTTTAAGAGAGTGTATACACTCTCCATGCCAGGTGGACAAAAAATGATGTAATAATATCAGTTCAGGATTGTTTAAGAGGGGTAATAGGACACTAGCATAGTTTAGATGTCTTTTTGAAAATTTAGGACAACTTCAGGTGTCACTTTATTTCTTTTCTCTTTCATAAATATGACAACTTTTTATGAAAGGGGAAAGTTAGTTTTGGAAATAAATAAATTAAAAGAGAAACTTGTTTGTGGTGGCGCCACATAGACAGTGGCGGACCCGCGCTAGGTCCAGGGTGTTCACCCGAACACCCTCGGCAAAAAAATATACGATATGTATAAGGTAAATTTTCTATATTTTTGTAGATGCATATATTTTGAACGCTCTCAATAACAAATAAAAATAGTTGACTCAATGGTAAGACTCCTTTCCTTTATAGTTTCAGTTTATTTTTATTTAAAAAAATCAGTTATGTTTTTCAAGCATTTTTTATTTCAAAAATGTGCCAAGAGTGTGGTTTTTAAACCCAAAAAAATTTAAAGGGCCCATATTTACACGTATATATTTTTATTTTTCGAACCTCCTGAATGAAAATTTTGGATCTGCCACTGCACATAGACGTGCCTAAGGTTCTCTTTTATATAATTTGTATGATTTTTCAAAATACTCCATTTTCCAAATTTAAAAGAGTGATATAATTAAATTATCATTTTATTTATTGCTTTTTAAAAAATGTGTCAAGAAATAAAAATAGATAAAATATAATATTCTTAATAGGCATTAAATAAGCTAAAATGGTAGTCTGACTTTTTTGATTTTTCCTAAAAGTGTTATTAATGTGTTAATTAACCACCTAATACCTAAGTGGATCCCCTCCAAGTTATCATAATTTAATGAGTTTTAAGAATACATGCTGTGATTTTGGTGACTTTACTAATAATATGATGTGAGAGGAGTATTTCAATTATGTGTTATCACTATGAAAAATAATAAATAATTTGATAATAATAATAATAATAATAATAATAATGATAATAATAATAATTTTTAAAAAAATTAAATTCTTTTAAAGTTGACTATTTCTTATAAAGAGTGAATCAAGTCATTTTTCAACTCAAAATAGACTTGAAAGTTGAACTTTTCCAATATATTTACTTATTTTTTTTTCTATTTGGAGTTCAACATTTGTATTTTCTAATTTACATTTTCACCTTGCGCATAAGACCAATTAGAAAAAAAAGAAACGATTATTATTATCTTTTAAATATCTAAATTTGAATTTAGGATTTTTAATTAAAGTTGGATAAATTTAATTTATTTGATCGACGATGACTCAATTGCTACCATCTCCTTCTATTAGTTCTATAAGATTTTGGTGGTTCTTTATTAACTTAGTTTTGATATTATGTGATATTCAAGATAAAAAAAAAGTCGTGAATAACAAAAATAAATTTTTTAAAGAATTTATTTGTTTTTACACTCACAATATCACTTTTCTTAATATAAATTCATATTTGCCCTAGACTAAACATGTCCTAATAGAATTACATTACAATATTTTCTCTCTAAATTGAATTGCAATTCGAGAGAGATTTAATTTGAACTATGTGGCTCTAGTCCTAAATAGTTTCAAAATTCTCGTAAAATAATATTAGTAGAATTCGATCGTCTTGTTTTTTTTACCTAGTATTATTATTTTACCATCAATTTGACTAATTCATATTCATGTTCATTAAAGAGAAGTCACTTTCTGTCATGACTTTTAAAATATCCAAATTTAAATCTAAGACGTTTAATTAAAGGTGGACAAATTTTACTCATTCGATCACAATAATTGATAGAATAAAAAAATAATGACACCTCAATTTTCTTTTGTGAATGTTCAAGCCAGTTTCATATGTAATATACTTTTCGAGCTATTTAATTTGATTTGATTTGTACATTTATGATGAAAAAAAATATGTTGTAAACATACGTTTGCACGTGTTAGAGTTTGAGACTTTTTCTTCTAGTGTTACAATGTATTAGCCACCTAATACTTAAGTGGAACCCTTTTGATATATCAAAATTTATTGAATTTAAGAATACATGGTATTAATTTGGAGATTTACTTATAACTATGATGTGAAAGGAGTATTTTAGTTTTGACTGTGGAAATTTTATCTCGTACATTATTTAAATTTTTTATTTTTTGAAATATAGAAAATAAAACGTCTCTAAATATACTGACAGTTCACAAAAATGATCTTTATCGATTGATGATCAATTATATCGTATCTATAGCCTTAATTTACCAAATTATGTTTTTTCTTTGCTTCTTTCAATCCTCGACTCTGATCGACTCGACTCTTCTTATCCCCGGCCAATCACTTTGTTACACAATGTGAAGCCAACAACTTTGATTCGTTAGTTAGTAATGCCAACAAGATGAAAGAATAGTACATACAACTAACTTCTTTATGACTAATCTATATATTTGCAATGTGTCAGATTCTTTAAAAAGAAAATTGTTGTCCATCATAACTTTTAAATTTTTTGAATTTAAAACATTTAATTAAAAATAGATAGATGCTATTCATTTCATCACGTACACTAATTATTGGGCCTAATGATCCTTGATACTATAGACAATAACAATAAAGTGATAATGATGCCTCAATCTTATTTTATTTTTTTGGTTGAATCCGTTGTATACTTTTCAAGCTATTTAATTCGATTCAGCTTTCACATATCCTCCCGTTGACTAATAATATATAGTAACAACTTTCACATTTATAATGAACAAAATAAAAATACATGTTGTAAACCTAAGTTAGGTTTTTTTTTCAATTAATGTATTAGCCACCTAA